TTACTATTGGTTTGATACGCCACCCAAAAAAATGTTATTATCATCAAACGGATCCTAAACTAGTATTCATTCATGAAATCAAATGAAAACAAAATATATCGTCCATTCACTTTTAATTATTATGGTGTGCTTTTTGAAAGTTAATTTGACTAGTGATAACATATCCTTCGAATTTTCTTACTAATAACTTTTCGGTTTATTTTTATTTGTTCATATAAAATGTTTTAACATATTACCATCAAAGAATCTGATGCAACAGATGAGGTTGTTTCTGTCTTAATCAAAATCTTCAGGTTTGAACCCTGAATATAAAAAAATTCTTCGCAGGGAGTATTGTTGTTCAAAATCGAATTGAACTTGATAATCCAAACCAAAAATAAGTTATTGATTAATCGATAATGTGTTATTAGTTTAGCAATTTCGATAATGATTTTTATGTTTTTTTATTATCAGGTGATCAATTATTTACAATTTGAAATTTCTCTTAACAGATTAATTGATAACCCGATATTAAATTAAATAATTATATATATACCATTTGGTATATAAAGTCCTCAACTTAATGTGTAGTTTCATAATTTTATCACTGTCTGTCTCAAACTCTCGATTATTCTAAAAACTGATAGTGTTTGCTTTTAAGCAAGTCACAATTGTCAATTCATGTGCATGATTCATTTTGTTTATTACCTGATTTCTCAATGATCTTTAATTATAATGTTTGTGTCATATCTTAATGATTAAACCGATAATGATCAATAACCGATAAATCAAATGATAGTTCAATATCTTAATAGATCTATAGTAGTTAGCATGTCTATAGATCGACAACTGATAGTTCTGACTGATAAACTTTAAATCGAACTAACTCGATCGATATGCAACCCTAGCAAAACTATCCCCTCTTCGAATGGGGCCCTATTCGGTGCTAATCTAGATTAGTCTATCACCGATGCGAATGTCAAACACTAAGTAAAATAAATAAATAAATAAATAAAACATTTTAGCATCAAATTTCTCAATCTTAAAACAGAAGTAGGGGTCATTGACACACACACAAAAGAAATTAGGGAAAAGGGTCTGATATACCCCTCAACTTTGCCATTAGAGCTGATATACGCCTCGTTATAAAAGTGGCTCATATATACCCCTACTTGTAAACAAATGGCCCACATATACCCTTTTCCTCTAACGAAAATGAAAAAAATAATAATTTTAATCTAAATTTTTATTATTTTTTTCTTAAAAATATAATCTCATATGAGTAAATTTAATCCTTGTCAAACATATTTTTTTTTTGACTTTTTTTTGTTTTAATGACTAATTTATAATTATTATTTTGATAATCAAATTTATTTATGTTTCACTAATATTCTTGTAAAACTTATTATAGAAGATTTTTCTTCGAATACGAAATTAAATTACAATACACACAAAAAAAATAGTTTAAATTTTTTTTCTTTAGACTAAGGAATGAAAGAAAAAACAAAATAAGAATAAGAAACTCAAATAATTATAATAAAAGAAGTCAAAAAATAATTTATGTATGAAAAAAATAAAATATACCTTGAACTTTGATAAAAGAATCATATATACCCCTAAATAATTTTTTAAAAATAAATTAAAATTAATTTTTTAATTTCCGTTAAATACAGGGTATATGTGAGTCATTTTGTTACGGCAGGGGTATGTGTGAGCCGTTTGATTAACGCTAAGGGCATATATGAGCCACTTTTATAACGAGGGGTATATCAGCTTTAAATGACAAAGTTGAGGGGTATATCAGACCCTTTTCTCAAGAAATTATACACTTTGGTTGTTGTTGTGTCTCAGAGTTTCTTGACATACCAAATCTTGAATTAGTAAAAACTAGGATGGTATTGTTGCGGAGATCATCAATAACATGGCTCTCAGTCCAGGGACAAAATTTTATCATCATGTTTGGTTGTCAGATTTGAAATAACTTATTCTATCAGTTGTATCACAATGATCAAATAAGTTATCTCATATACATAAAGAAATAAGTTATTATTCCAAGATAATTAATTCAAGAATAACTTGTTCCCAACCAAACGACCCCTTAATTATTTAAAGTTAGCTTTCAAAATGAAGTTCTTAACATGGATCACTTTAATTATCCTTCATAGCGGCATATTTCGCACTAATCCAAATTAATTGGTCCCCTCTCTCTCTCTCTCTCTATATATATATATAGCTAACCTATAGTTTTTTTCTTTTCTAATGGTTCTTAAAGTATCCACGTCCGACAACTAACTTGTGCTAGTTGTGACATGGTATATTGAATCTTGCGATAGTTTGGTATAGCGTAAGGATAGTACTGAATGAAATATATTAATAATGATAAAATTATTAAATTTATTAAGTGATATAAGTTATAATTTCTTGAAAATTTCAATCGCATAAAAAATAACAAATGTGAAATCATGTATATGAATTTTGTGATTAGTGTAATTTATATTCTGTCCTCTTCTAAAAGGGTTTTCTTTAGGAACTTGCAAATATTATTAGACAATTTGTGACAAGTAAATTTAGTAAAACCATCCAAATTGAAATGGTAGTACATCTATAAATGCATTTGAGACACGGTCAACAAAGTAATGAAATTTGGTATTAAAAATATGATAAAAAGAAGAAAAAAAAGGAGTTAAGAAGTGGAAAATTGATAAAGTGCAGTTTTATGTAGGAGTAGGACATAGATAGGTTTGGGAAATGAATTTATGGAACATGTCAATTTCCTCACCAAAAAGGAGCCAACACGATTTAAAACTTCCACATTAGCATTTTACTTACATTTGCTAATTTAATATATTTATTAAAAAAATATTTTACTAAATTGTTCTTGCTAATTATGTTTTAAACTTTTAAATTTAATCATTATTACTTTATATAGTGACTTAATAATTGTTGAATTAGAGAGTGACGAGTACAAAATACAGTAAGCATATTATTAATAGCAAGAGATACCACTCTTTAGATCAGGGTTCAAATTATACTAAAGCTTGTTTTTATTGTAAGTATAGCTTAAATCTTATATTTGAGCTATGTTTTTATTGTTACACTCAAAGTTTTTAAATCTTGTGTTCGCTTCTGCCTTGAATAATAGAGATCCTAAGATCTAGGTTCAAGTAGATTAAACAAAGTCATAGATGACGGCTCAACATTGTCAAAATTCATTTTATGGTTTATTCTCATGATGAAACAATTTTCAATAACCAGGATAAATGCATTAGAACTTTTTAATAATTTCTAAATTTGATACATGCTATATCAAATAGTATATCTACGAAATAACACATTTAGAAACCACCTATTTAAGTGTGAAGTGTAAGCCGCTTCAAGGAGAATCCGGTAAGATCAATTCTCTAAATAGTTATTAATCAAGACGTGTTCACGGCTGAAAACAAACAAAATAATGAAAATAAAAGAACAATTCAAGGGTTGATTGTGTGACTTATGTTGTCTAGGTATACACCAAATTCGATGATATAAAAATATCAAATTTATCAATTGACCTAGCATATCTAATATATATTCACATCAGAAAATTCAAAAAGAAACCTACTTATTCTAGTGCAATTAATTCTTACTTACGAGACACATGAATTAACCAAAAAGGGCAACATTAAAGTTGAAAGGACATTTTATCTTCTATTTTACATAAAATTAGCTTTTCTAATAATACTAATATATATATATATATATATATATATATATATATATAT